CCTATGAAGATACAAGAAGCATACAGAACACCAAATAGACTAGATGCCCCCCAAAAGTTTCCTTATCACATAATACTCATACCACTAAACACACATAATAAAAAAAATATTGAGAGCTACAAAAGAAAAAGTACAAGTAACATATAAAGGCAGAGGCATCAGAATAACACCTGACTTGTCAAGGGAGATTCTGAAAGTCAGAAGGTCCTGGATAGATATTATGTACGCACTAAGAGACCATGGATGCCAACCCAGACTATTATACCAAGCAAAACTCTCAATCACTATAGATGGAGTAAACAAAATATTCCATGATAAAACCAGATTTAAACAATACCTATGAACAAATCCAGCCTTACAGAAAGCATTATAAGAGAAAATCCTACCTAAGGATGTCAGATACACACATGAAAACACAGGCAACAGACAATCCCACACCAACAAATGTGAAAGAAGGGAAACATACACTACCATCAAATCATAACAAGAATTAACTATCACTGTTCATTAATATCCCTTAATATCAATGGACTCAATTTTCCAATAAAAAGACACAGGCTAGATCACCGGCAACACCAGTGACCATCGGGGTCATAAGCCCACCCTGCACCATTGGAAAGGATTGGGAAGGACATTACATATTTATCACAGGGAAAATCCACCAAGATGAAGTCTCAATTCTAAACATGTATGCCCCAAATACCAGGGCACCCACAAGAAACATTACTAAAGCTTAAATAGCACATCAAATCTCACACAATAGTAATGGGAGACTTCAACACCCCACTCTCAACAATGGACAGGTCTGCAAGACAGGAACTTAACAGAGAAATAAGGGCTCTAACAGACATTATGACTCAAATGGACTTAATAGATACCTACAGAACATTCCACCCTAACATAAAAGAATATACCTTAGAACCTTCTCTAAAATTAACCACATGCTTGGTCACAAAGCAAATCTCAACAGATACAAAAAAATTGGAATCACCTCCTGCTGTATTATATCAGACAGCCATGGCTTAAAGTTAGATTTCAACCTGGCCACTCTTTTTTTTTTTTTTTTTTGGAGCTGAGGCTCGAACCCAGGGCCTTGCGCTTGCTAGGCAATTGCTTTACCACTGAGCTAAATCCCCAAATAGCCAAATGAATGGAAACACATGAACTATGAACCAATGGCTGAGGGGTCCACACTGGATCAGGCCCTCCGAATGGGTGAGACAGTTGATTGGCTTGATCTGTTTGGGAGGCATCCAGGCAGTGGGACCAGATCTTGTGCTCATTGCATGAGTTGGCTGTTTGAAACCTGGGACCTATGCAGGATTGTTTGGCTCGGCCTGGGAGGAGGGGACTAGACCTACCTGGACTGAGTCTACCAGGTTGACCTCAGTCTGTGGGGAAGGCTTTGCCCTGGAGGAGATGGGAATGGGGGGGGGGGGCGTTGGGGGGAAGGTGAGGGGGACGGGAGGGGGGGAGAACAAGGGAATCCGTGACCGATATGTAGAACTGAATTGTATTGCAAAATAAATTAAAATAAATTAAAAAAAAAAGTTAGATTTCAATAACAAAATTTATAGAAAGCCTCATGGAAATCTCATGGAAAAGGAGTAATGTTCAACCAAATCACCAATGGGTCAAGGAAGAAATAAAAAAATTAAAGATTTTCTAGAATTCAATAAAAATTAATGTACAACATACTAAAACTTATGGGACACTATGAAAGCAGTGCTAAGAGAAAAATTCATAGTGCTAAATGCCCACATAAAGAAGTTGAAGAAATCACACACTAGTGAATTAACAGCAAACCTGAAAGCTCTAGAACAAAAAGAAGAAAAACTCACCCACGAGAAATAGATGGCAGGAAATAATCAAATTGAGGTCTGAAATCAATGAAATTGAAACAAAGAGAACAATTCAAAGAATCAATGAAACCAAAGGGTCGGTTCTTTGAGAAAATCAACAAGATAGACAAGCCCTTATCCAAATTAACCAAAAGGCAGAGAGAGCATCCAAATTAACAAAATCAGAAATGAAAAAAGAGACATAACAACAGACAATGAGGAAATCCAGAGAATCATCAGGTCATACTTCAAAAACCTGTACTCCACAAAATTGGAAAATCTGAAAGAAATGGACGATTTTCTGGATAGGTATCATATACCTAAGTTAAATCAAGACCAGATAAACTATTTAAATATAACAGTAACCCCTAAGGAAATAGAAATAGTCATTAAAAGTCTCCCAACCAAAAAAAGCCCAGGACAAGATGGTTTCAGTGCAGAATTCTACCAGAATTTCAAAGAAGAACTAATACCAATACTCTTCAAATTGTTCTACACAATATAAACAGAACTGCTTTTATGAGGCTATAGTCACCTGATACCCAAACCACACAAAGATGCAACAATGAAAGGGAATTACGGACCAGTATCTGCCATGAACATTGATGCAAAAAATACTCAATAAATATTGGCAAACTGAGTCCAAGAACACATCAAAAAATTATTTACCATGAACCAGTAGGCTTCATCCCAGGGAGCAAGGATGGTTCAATATATGAAAATCTGTCAATGTAATATACCATATAAACAAACTGAGAGAAGAAAACCACATGATCATCTTATTAGATGCTAAAAATGCCTTTGACAAAATCCAATAGCCCTTCATAATAAAGGTCCCAGAGAGATCACGAATACAAGGAACATAACTAAACATAATAAAGACAATTTATAACAAGCCGACAGCCAACATCAAATTAAATGGAGAAAAACACAGAGTGATTCCAGTAAAATAAGAATGAGACATGGCTGTACACTCTCCCCATATTTACTTAATATAATATGTGAAGCTCTAGTTAGAGCAATAAGACAACAAAAGGACATCTAGGTGATAAAAATTGGAAAGGAAGAAGTCAAACTTTCATTATTTGCAGGTGATATGATAGTATACATAAGTGACCCCAAAAATTCTACCAGGGAACTCCTACAACTGATAAACACTTTCAGTAATGTGGCAGGATACATTATCTAAAAAAAAAAAATCAGTAGCCCTCCTATACACAAATGATAAATGAGCTGAGAAAGAAATCAGAGAAACATCACCCTTTACAAAAGCCACAAATAATATAAAATACTTTGGAGCAACTCTAACTAAGCAGGTCAAAACCTGTATGACAAGAACTTTAAATCTCTGAAAAAAGAAATTGAAAAAGATATCAGAAAATGGAATGATCTCTCATATTCATGGATAGGTGGGATTAACATAGTAAAAACAACAATCTTACCAAAAGCAACCTACAGATTCAATGCAATCCCCATCAAAATCCCAACAAAATTCTTCATAAACCTGGAAAGAGCAACACTCAACTTCATATGGATAAAAACAAGAAATGTAGGATAGCTAAAAACAATCCTGCACAATAAAGCAACATCTGGAGACATCACCATCCCAGACTTCAAGCTCGACAATATAGCTATACTTATAAAAACAACTTGGTATTGGCATAAAAACTAACATGTAGACCAGTGGAATCGAGTTGAAGACCCTGACACTAATGCACACACTCGTGAACACCCAATTTTTGACAGAGAAGCCAAACGTGTGCAATGGAAAAAGTAAACCATTTTCAACAAATTGTCCTGGCATAACTGGATGTCAACATGTAGAAGATTGCAAATGCATCCATATCTATCTCCATGCACAAAACTCAAGTCCAGGTGGATCAAAGACCTCAACATAAATCCAGCTACACTGAACTTGATAGAAGAGAAAGTAGGTAGTCTTGAATACATTGGCACAGGAGACCACTTCCTAAGTATAACATCAGTAGCACAGACACTGAGAGCAACAATTAATAAATGGGACGTCCTGAAACTGAGAAGCTTTTTTAGGGCAAAAGATATGGCCAATAAGATGAAACAACAGCCTAAAAAATGGGAAAAAAATCTTCACCAACCCCACATCTGACAGAAGGCTGATCTTTAAAATATGTAAAGTACTCAAGAAACTAAGTGAGATCTCCATGAGCAAACTGGAAGCAAGGAGTGGGGGGCAATGGAGGGTAGGGGATGGGGGATGAGAACACAAGGGAATGGGATGGTCGAACTGGAACAGGGACAGTATGGGAGAACAAGAGATACCATGATGGAGGGAGACATCAATGGAACAGGGAGAAACATAGTGCCCCAGGAACACACAAGAATTACCCCAGTTTAGTCTACTAGCAGTATTGGAGAAAGGTGCCTAAACTGGCCTATTCCAGTAATCAGATTGGTGAATACCCTAACTATCATCATAGAGCCTCCATCCAGTTAGTGATGGAAGCAGATGCAGATATCCACAGCCCAGCACCAGGCCAAGGAAAGGAGTCAAGTTGAAGAGAGAGAAGAGGGATTCTATGACCAAAGGAAATCAAAATCGTGATGGGGAAAAATACAGAGACAACTAAAACAATCTAGTGGGAACTCATGACCCAATGGGAACTAGTGGACCAATAGCTTTGGAGTCTCCATGTGACTAGACTAAGCCATCTGCATAGCTGAGACAGTTGTTTAGCTTGAAGGGCCCCTGTCAGTGGGTCTGGATTCATTCCTGGTGCATGGGCAGGCTTTTTGGAGCCCAGTGCCTATGGTGGGACATTGTACACTGCCTTGGTTCAGGGGGGGATGCTTAGACCTGCCTCAAGTGAATGTACCAGGCTCTGCTGATTCTCCACAGGAGTCCTTGCCTTAGAGGAGTTGGGAATGGAGGATGGGCTGATGGATAAGGCTGGGGGGCAGGAGGAGGGAGGAGAGGGGCACCTGTGATTGGTATATAAAAAGAACAAAAAATTCTTAATAATTAAAAAAACATTATCAAGCTAAAGACATGGCTGCACAGTTAAGAAAAGTTCTTTTCCAGGACCAGGATCCAATTTTGGACAACTTCCCATAACTCCTGCTATGAGAAAATCCAAAGGTCTAACCTTCTTGGGCACCAGCATGCACATACACACACAAACATACACTGAAATCACATAATTGAAATTTAAGCAGTTTTTAACAAATGAAAGTTTTCCTCTTTTAAGCATTCATTTCTATAACTCATTTGTTGAAACATCTACAGGGTTATTTACAGAGCTTTTCTTCTATATAAATAGTTCATGTGACAGAAAGCAAGAATGTAGGATTAAAGTCAGAAATACCAATCATTTTCAGCTGCTATTATTATTTGGGAAGATTTATGAAATGCTGCCCTGCTGGAGGAAATATATCACTGGGGGAAAGCTTTGAGAATTTACATCTGCACACTGTTTCCAGTTCTCACTCTCTACTTCATCTTGCAGGTGGAGGGTATAAGTTCTTAGCTTCTGCTTAGGCTGCCATGTCTGACACCTGTTGCCATGGAACTTTCATGGTGATCTTTTATCCCTCTGGAACCAAGGGCCAAATTAAACTCTTTTTATAAGTTGACCTAGGCAATATATCACAAAAACAGAAAAGGCACTAATACAAATCCATAAAGTTTTACACCCGAATCAGTTATTTCATGTAATTGAAGAGAAGTATAAAATCTAAAAGGAATAAATTATCATTGAAATTCATAGGGGTTCATAAATTCATAAATTCATTTTCCTCATGAATTTGAAGTTACAACAATATAAAGTTGTACATCATAATGTTTGACCAGATTGTTGACACTTTCAAAATTTTTTACAGAATAAATATTTTTGTGAAACTGAATGTAAGAGTGTTGGCTAAAGATCTTAACAAATACTTTATAATAAGAAGTCCTCAATATTTTTTCAGGCATTCAAAGACTATTGTAATATACAAAAGCTTTAACACATTGATTGCACACAAAGTTTTTATTCCTGTAGAAAGTGCAAAATTTTACCACACAGACTACATTTATAGGCTTTCTCTACAGTATGATTTTTATTCATGATTTTGTAGACTATTGAAACATGCCAAGGCATTACCACACTTATTACCTTCATAGAGTTTTGCTCAAGTATATGTTCTTTTATGTACTCAGAGATTAGTATAATATGCAAAGCCTATACTGATTACATTCACAGGGTTTCTCTCAAGTATGTATTCTTTTATGCCTTTGAAGAGAAGAGTAATGAACAAAGACTTTACTGCACTGATTACATTCATAGGGCTTCTTTCCAGTATGTGTTATTTTGTGCATTTGAAGACCACTGTAACTGGCAAAGGCTTTACCACACTGATTACATGCATAGGGTTTCTCTCCAGTATGTGTTCTTGTATGCCTTTGAAGATAACTTTGATGTGCAAAGTTTTTTCCACATTGAGTACATTCATAGGGCTTCTCTCCAGTATGTAGTCTTTTATGTATTTGGAGATGACCTTGACATACAAAGGCCTTACCACACTGATTACATTCATAGGGTTTCTCTCCAGAATGTGTTCTTTCATGCACTTGAAGATGAATGAGTTGTGAAAAGCCTTTACCACACCGATTACATTCATAGGGTCTCTCTCCAGTATGTGTTCTTTTATGTATTCTAAGACTGCTGTGATAATTAAATCCTTTACCACATTGATTACATTCATAGAGTTTCTCTCCAGTATGTGTTGTTTTGTGCATTTGAAGATCACTTTGACGTGTATAGGCTTTACCACACTGATTACATGCATAGGGTTTCTCTCCAGTATGTATTCTTTTGTGCATTTGAAGATTACTGTGATATGCAAAGGCTTTACCACACTGATTACATTCATATGGTTTCTCTCCAGTATGTGTTCTTATATGCCTTTGAAGATTACTTCGAAGTGCAAAGGCATTTCCACATTGAGTACACTCATAGGGCTTCTCTCCAGTATGTGTTCTTTTATGTATTCGAAGATGACTTTGACATAAAAAGTCCTTACCACACTGATTACATTTATAGGGTTTCTCTCCAGTATGTATTCTTTTATGCACTTGAAGAACACTGAGTTGTGAAAAGTCTTTACCACACCATGTATATTCATAGGGTTTCTCTCCAGCATGTGTTCTCTTATTTATTTGAAGTCTTCTTTGCAATGCAAAGGCTTTACCACCCTGATTACATGCATAGGATTTCTCTCCATTATGTGTTCTTTTGTGAATTTGAAGATTACTATAATATGCAAAACCTTTACCACACTGATCACATTCATATGGTTTTTCTCCAATTTGTGCTTTTTTATGCCTTTCAAGATTACTGTGATATGCCAAGGCTTTACCACACTGATTATATTCAGAGGGCATCACTCCAGTATATGTTCTTTCATGCCTGTGAAGAGTACAGTGATGAGCAAAGGCTTTAACACATTCAGTCTGTTCAGAAGATTGCTCTCCAATATGAATTCTTTCATGCCTGCAAGGATAATTGGCACATGTAAAGGCTTTACCACATTCAATACACTGTTGAATCTTTATATCTGAATGAATTAATTTACAATTTGGTTCATTTATAAAGTGGAATCATATATTAACGTTTTATCACTGTCTTTACACTCATGTTACTCCCCTTCATCAGAGGTTTTTTGCATCTTTGAAGATATCTATGATGCTAAGAGCCTTTATTACATAGTTCACATTTATAAGACCTTTTTCTACATGAGATTTTTCACATATTTCAAGAAAATTGGAAAAACTCAGAGCTTTACCACACATTGCTTTCATAGATTTTCCTATACTATGAGTCATACTACATTTTCTAAGTGAAGTGTGACAAACAAAACTATTTACACAGTCCTAGTATGCATAGAGCTTTTCTGAAGTGTGAGATTGTTGATGTGTTAAGAGTCAAGGTGGAAAAGCAATTACTTGTATACTTGAATCAAATTCAACAGGTCTACTTAATGGGAGGAGTGCTACAAATATTCTAATACTTCTGAGAAGTACATTACATCATTCTATGTCTCTATGTTTACATGGCTTGTGTCCAGAGTGACATATGACATACATAGTAAAAGAAGAATTGTGCATACCTTTTGTAATATGAGTGGTATGAAATAAAATGGATTGGCAGTTTTACAAGCATAGCATCCATGGGGCTTTGATTCTAATGGTGATATCTGTTAAGGCATTGTTTTCTTGTCTTCATTCTTAAAAGAAAAGCCTTGCAAATGTAATTCACCTCCCTGAAGTTGAGGCATATGGTGTTGTGAGAATTTAATAACCATCAATACATTTTAACCTGTATTACTGATGCCTTTCTTTGAAATTTGTAGAACACATTACAGTTTCTTCAAAGGCACATTTGTATCAGTTTGCAAATAAAAATTACCTTTCATGTCTTCTAGAACTTTTACAATGTTCTTCTATATGATGGTCTTCCCAGCTGTACCCTAAAATATAGTTTCAGAAAATGGATGTTATATTATTGAAAATTGTGCAAAATTTAAGTTACTATCTTCAAGGAATCTTAAAACTATGCCTGATTTATTCACCCCATTCTTCTTTCTCAATCAAATTGAAGGAGAAAATAAATAGTCAAGAAATAGTAGCCCATGGGCTGGAGAGATGGCTCAGCCGTTAAAGGCTAGGCTCACAACCAAAAATATAAGAAATAGTAGCCCCCTTATTTTACATGAAGGAAAATTCAGTCTTACCTATAGTAGTGAGGTTCCTGTAGGTCTCCAGCATCACATCTTTGTAGAGATTTTTCTGGGAAGAATCCAGCAAAGTCCACTCTTCCCAAGTGAAGTCGATGTGCACATCATCATAGGTCACTGCATTCTGAAATATCCAATACATATGTACAACAGAAAGCATGGTATTAACAACATTGCAAATGTATACCTCTTTGACAGCATAATCATAAAATTGCAGTACTCCACACACTTAATTCCATGACACAGACATTATATTCAGATCACCAAGTCACTCTGGAATGAAACTAAATAGGAGGTTCAACCCTGTCATTTCTGTATGCTATGAGTGGGATATGACCTTGCAACAGAAATGTCTATTAACAAACATAGAGAAATAAGTAAACAGATCAACAGCACAGACTACATATAAGAGAAATTATTTTACTAAGCACAAAAAAGAAAAATAAGATGGACAAGCTGGGTATATTGGCTCATGACTTTAACCATAGCACTCAGTGGCAGAGGCAGGTATATCTGTTTCTGGGTTGCATGCTAGCCTAGTATATGCAATCAGTTCTTGGACAGCCAGAAGTACATATTGGAACCCCATCTTCTGTGCAAAAATCAGCCAAACAAACAAAACATATAGGAAGAACTTAGAGGTTATTTACTGAAGTTTCTGCTTCTGTATTCATCTTCCAGAAAGCTGAAGTACCCCACTTTAATCTGTAACATCAATTAAGATCTTACTAAAAGGCACCGAATGTTTAAACAGTTACAAACGAACAGATGAAAACATTAGCAGTATAAATGTTGATAATAACTCATCAACACGGGGCAGGAGAGATGGTTCTGTCGTAAAGAATTCTTGCTGGTCTTGCATACAAGTGGAGGTAATTGTCAATATTTACATAGGGGATCAAAATTATCCATTATTCCCAGTTCACAGTTTTCGAGACCATCTTTTTATCACTGTGAGGACCAGGTACCCATGTGATGCATATCTGTTCATACAGGTAAAATACTCATATTCATTAAAAATTTTCAAAACAAACACAACAGGCAGGAAGAATGTTGTGTATCTGAAATCCAATGACAGAAGTCTCAGGCAGTATTAATGTCATGAATACACGTATCATAGGAGACAGAATGATACCATCTACCAAATTTCAAAATTCAGGATAAGGATGAAGCTCATTACAACAGCATATGCTTGACATACACAAAAACCTGCTTTCCAGGCCCATCATCCAATAATATAAAAACAAAAAAGGCCAGGAATTTCAGGCCACCTCTAATCCTAGCACTTGTGAGACAGACTCAAGTGAATCACTGATATCAAAGACAGCTGGATGTACAGAACTACTTTCAGGATAGCCAGGGCTACACAGACAAATCTTGTCAACAAAAACAAACAAAAAAATTAAAGCAGTAGGCTAGCAAACTGCCTTAGCATTGAATAGCAATTGCTTCTACTATATCTCATGTGATTTACACATAGTCTATAATGGTGGTGATGGCATTACAGCACAAAAAGGATGCTAGCTGATGAGTTTCAACCACAACACAATTGAAATCAAGAAGAGGAAATGGGTTCAGTCTATAGATGCTCATAACCCAAGCAAGATGCTCTTATTCGTCACTGTCTGGTGCTCAGCTAGCTTTGTAATCCATCTCAGGCCCACATGATTAGGGTATTGCAACCTAAGTAGAAGATTCTTTCCACATCAATCATCATTCAACACAGTTTCTCAAAAACACAGTAACTAGCAATTCTGATCCAGACATAGCCTCAATTGATGTTCCCTCAGATGACTCTAGGCTACATCATTTTGACAGTTGAAGCTAGTTAAGACAAAGACACAATAATACATGAGAAAGTTTTAAAAACACAAAAATAATGAATTAACCATATCAATCACTAAAGCAGCAAAAAATCCAAACATGAAGATTGCAACAACTGGAAAACACAGATATATCGAGAAATGAGAAGTGAGCCTCTAAGATTAAGAAGAGAAAACTAAAACTGTCTCTCCCCAGAAATTCCCCAAAGCAACCAAAGCTCAAGAAACTCAAAGCATAATATAGTACATTTAAAAAAAAATGGTGAAGTTCCATCATTTTCCAGAGAAACAACAATAAATTTAGATGACAATTAATAAAGTCAATACAGATGGTACTGCTGACTAAACAAGACAAAAAAGACATACCTACATATAGGTATCACAATCTCTTAAGCAAGAACTACAAGATTCTAATCTAAATTTAACCACAAGAAATTACTGTCCAACACTCATCCTGTATACTCTAGTACTTTTTCTTTGTTAATAATAGAAAATTGAATTTTGAGGATGGCTGTACCAACAGAATTGGACAGATTCACTTGAAGCCTTCTGATGTTTTAACTTTGTAGAAGATAGATTTTATTACTAAAAGTATCTCATTCTCTTATCATAAAGAAAATTTCATTTCCTCAGGCTGAGGAAATAAAAACTATTCCAAATTAAATGCAAGATGACAGATATTTAAAGAAAGAGTATATGATTTGAATTACACACCTAAAGCAACTTGTTTTGCTCTAACTGCTTATGAGTCACAAGAACATTTGAAGAAAGTTTTCTCCCCACATTTTATGAATGTTTGTGTGTGTGAGAGAATGTGTTCCATGTGTATAAAGGTGGCATACAAAAAAATAGGGTGTTAGATCTCCGGGATCTGGAGTAGCAGGTGGTTATAAGCCTACAAACTTTGATACTGATATGTGAACTCAGGTCATCCCCAAGAAGAATACATGCTATGTCACTTGAAACAACCACATAGAACTTTTAATCCAATACAATAAAAGTCTTTTGCATATTAACAACAACAACAACAAAACCTAAATAGGCACAGAAGTAAATAAATGGTCCATGGGAACATGGTGCATCAATATTAAGATTTTGTGTATGGTAAATTCAAACCATGAATTGAATACAATCCAAAGAAAATGCCAAACAATTTATAACACAATATACCTGATTCCAAAGGTACAAACTGGAAAATCTCAGTTATGGAAAAATCTAAGATTATGAAAAGATAATACACATATTAATATAATCTGACTTCTATATTTACCACAAAGCTAAAACAATCAAGAATATATACAATATTTGTGAAAGAATAAAGGAGAGAGAAAAAGGTAAGAATAAAGGCAGAAAAAATATAGTCAACTTTTCATCAAAAGACCAAAGGAAACTCAACCAGAAAAGATGTATTCTTGACCAATGTTACCAAATTTCATATAATTCTATGTATATAGAAATTAACACAGAGTTCACAATTTCCACAAAATTAACTCAAAGTAACCCTTAAAACAGTTATGTTTCTGACTCTCCAGCCACTGATTTTTCTTCCAGAGAGGCCTCTGTTGTAGAATATTAATTTAAGATGTGTTACATTTGTTTATGTTGTGGAACATTTGATTAATGATGCAAAGATGCATTGCATTCTTTTATGTTGTGTTTGTTTGAATGTGTGAAGCTGTGTTATTTTGTCTGTCTAAAACAGATAATGGTATAATAAAGAGCTGAATGGTCAAAAGCTAGGCAGGAGAAAGGGTGGGTAGGGTAGGGTTGGCAGGCAGAGAGAATAAATAGCAAGAGAGAAAAGGAGCATGATCAAGGAGCAGAAAAACAAATTGTCAGCCACCCAGTCACATAGACAGCCATGGAGAAAGAATGAAAGAAAGGTTACAGAACTAAAAAAAAAGGGAAAAGACCAGAGACAAAAGGTAGATAGGATCATTTAAGTAAGAGAAGCTGGCTTGGAAAAAACCTAGATAAGGCCAGGCATTTGTAAGCGATAGTAAGCCTCTGTGTGTGACTTTTGTGGGAGCTGGTGGTAAGCCAGCAACAGAGCCAACACAGCCAACAACAGGTTCCATGCTCCAGAGCTCTCTTGGCCAATGGAGGCAATCTCCTGCTATGGCTCTGCAAACTCTCACGTCGCCTTGTGGTTTCAGGAAAACCTAGCCCCACTGATGCCCAATTGTAAAGAGTGTAGAAGAATAATTTAATGTATATTTCCTGCCCCATGTGTTATGGCACATGATGTAGAATCTGCCCTATCCATCTGCCCAGCAACAAGTGAACCTGAAATATCTCTGCAGCTCAGAATCTTCTTTTCTCCCCTGGAACTAAACTTCTCTGAATCAAGTAGACTCTGGTAGCAGAAATTTTAAAACATGCTAATCAAGTATTGCTCAAGGATGTCCCTATCACTTCTTTCTACCAGTTTCTAAATCAATTGTAACATTTATAAGACAAACCTGAAACTGGAATGCAATGTTAAAGACATCTAGAAACAGAGCTTTAGTTATCCAATCCATCTCTCACGTCACACTAAATGTATAATATATATGTCCAGTGTGTATGCACACTGGACATATATATTAAAAGTATTACAACAGTCAGGTGGTGGTGGTGCATGCCTTTAACCCCAGATCTCAGGATGGAGAGACAAGAGGATCTCTGTGAGTTTGAGCCTAGGCTGGTCTACAAAGCAAATTCCAACACAGCTAGAGCTATACACAGAGAAACCCAGTCTCAAAAACAAACAAACAAACAAACAAACAAACAAACAAACAAACAGCATCCTCCCATAGCCAGGTCATCAGAGTCTCCCTCTCCCCAGGTAATTCACACTCAGGGAGTCTCAGAGGAGAAGGGCCACAGCCCAGGTCACAACACTGATCAAGAGAACCACAATCTGGCTCAGAGTCTATCTCAGTCACACTGACTCTGACAGCTCAGCAGAATTGCTCCTCTTGATCTGGGTTCAGTTGTCCCCACACTCACCATGACATGGCTTATGGTCTCCCTCACAGGTCTCTACAGCAAAGCCAGAGGAGAATCCTGGAAAGAATCTCCAAGCTATTTCCCACTGGTATTCCTTATTGCTAAGACTTCCCAGAGACCCACATTAGCTAATACCATTCAGCTGGGTCTCAGGACAGTAGCAGTTCCCTTACAGGCTGCTCAGAGATTAAGTGACACAATCATTGGAAGTCTTCCTAGCTCTGTCTGTTCACCCTTGGGGCAGAAAGGGCCCTAAACTGGGAAATCTGTATTTTAGTGGACAGTCTTCTACTCTCCCAGAGCACTTCCT